TTCGGTTTGTATGGAAGATGCCACGCCCCCTTTTCCAATAGTTCCAATTTTTCTCCAAGATTATGCGATTTATTTCGAACATCTCCATACAAAACTCTAGAACTCTACCAAAAAATTTCCAGAGATAAGCAGTATGAAAAATTCGGTTTGTATGGGAGATGGCACACCCCTTTTTACAATAGCTAAAATTTGTCTCCAAGGGTATGCGATTGATTTCGTATATCTCCATACCAATTTCCAAAACTCTACCATGCACACTTTCAGAGATATGTAGCATGAGAAATTCGGTTTGTATGGGAAGTGCCACGCCCCCTTTACATATAGATTTTTTTCAGCCTAAAACCATCCTTGGGACACGTGCGGCAGGTGGCAGTTTCAAAAAAATCGGTTCAGCCGCTCTCGAGCCTTGCGAAAACTAACAAACGGCTTTCTAGATATATATTAGTTGAGATATATTATATATTATAATTATATTTTGACAGTATGTACGTTGTTTATGATTGGCGCAAAAAAATCTTGCCTAGTGACGAATTCGCCCCTTGATATGGTCGTTACTAAAAGCTATTTATATTCTAAATTGCATGAAAATTGGAAAACAGGAATCTATAAGCTTATCCAGGCAAAAAGCTACCTACGTACCGAACTTTAAGCAAATCGGACCATAAATACGATTTCTTCGAACAGATCGGTCCCTGGTCCACTTCTCGGACAAAATGGATCATATATGCTAAAAAGCTACCTACGTACCGAATTTTAAGCAAATCGGACCATAAATACGATTTCTTCGAACAGATCGGTCCCTGGTCCACTTCTAGGACAAAATGGATCGTATATGCTAATATATGCTAAAAAGCTACCTACGAACCGAATTTTAAGCAATTCGGACAGTAAATACGATTTTTTCGAATAGATCGGTCCCTGGACCACTTCCCGGAAAAAATGGGTCATATATGCTAATATATGCTAAAAAGCTACTTACGTACTAAATTTTAAGCAAATCGGACTATAATACGATTTTTTCGAATTGACCGGGCCCTGGTCCACCTACCCGAAAAAAAGTAAAATTTTTTTAGCCTAAAACATGGTGGTTACCGAAAGCTATTTGTATACAAAATTTCATGAAAATCGAACCAGCCACTCGCGAGATTACCTGTTACAAAAAAAAAGGGACTTTTCTTTATATAATTAGTATAGATATTCTACATGAAATACATGTTTTATTTGCGTAAAAAATTCATTTAAAAGCAATATTAACAAAAATATAACGATGGAATATTATGTCACGTGACGCTACGTGGCCCAAAAAAGTTAAAGAAAACAAATGGTATTCCTTGTTTGTATCACATTGAAACGTACGACTGTCACGTATGCGACGTATGGAAATACCCATATGTAAGTGTTATTAGTAATAACTTATTACCCTGTAGTCAAATGTACTAGCTGTAAACTACCTCACAACTAATATGAACCGCATGCCCAACTAGTCAGCCAACTATCTTTTTTCCACGCAATCAACTGGTATTTTTAACATGGGGATGTCCTACAAGATGGCAATTGTCAGATTTCGGTCAGAAATATACCAGTCTCATACTAGTTCAAAACAGACAGAAAAATACTAGTCCAATTATGGACCAAAACCGCTACTTTGGAAGTCAAAAAATTAAATGAATTCATGAATATACAATGAAAGACTTTTGATTAAATATACTTTAAAATATTACACATTTATATTTAGCAGCCTTAGATTTGCCAATAATTAGTGTAAAAGTTTTTGAGTATTAATTAAAAGGGACAATAAATACATAAATATTTGAAACATTCGAACATAAATTTAAAGACATGTTCCATTAAATGATATTAAAAGTAAAAGCTTTCAGGTACAATAAATACTATATTTTTATATTTTTTTAATAATATGGAAAAGAAAACATTTTAGTTAAGAATAAAACGAATACTATAGTTCATTTTGAGTAAACTAAAATAAAAATAAAAGTTTTCATTAAAAGAAATTAAATTCGTTAACTTTGCACATTTCAGTCCTTTCGTTTTAAAATGTTTTTAAAGTAATAATTAATGTTTAAAGTTTGAGATTTGGATAAGAATAAAGTAAATAAATAATTCAAGCAGTTAATAAATATTCCTAATTCTTGTCTTTACTTTGGCTTGTTGATTGATAACACTGGTCTACAAGGGTTTTGCGAATAAGACGGGACCTGGTGTTTCCGAACGGATTTTTCGTGCTGAACACGAATCTGGGGTCCAAAACTTCCCATCACGTCACGTTTTCGAGAAAAAAGGGGTTGAAACCCCTAAAAACAGCGTTTTTGGCCATTTTTGAAAAATTGTAGAGCTGAACCCTGACGTGCTACAAACTTTGTATATGTCAGAAATTAAAGGCTAAATCGTGCCCTTTCGAATGAGCCCTATGCCGAATTAATCGCATGCACCCTTAGATCAGGGGGTGTATTTGTGTCTAGGAGTCCAATTTTTATATCCACCATATTCGACCCGTCATCTTAAATTTTTAAAATCTAACTGCAGATTCGTAATCAGCGACTTTTAATATAGTTAAAACCTTGGCATTATTAATTTTCTATGATCGTTTAAGATTAAATTCTTTCTGTGATCAATTTTTCCTGCACCCCTAAACACAAATACACCCCCTGCTTTAAGGGTGCACGCGATCAATTCGGCATAGGGCTCATTCGAAAGGGCACGGTTTAGCCTTTAATTTCTGATATATGCAAAATTTGTACCACGTCAGGGTTCAGCTCTATAATTTTTCGAAAATGGCCAAAAACGCTGTTTTTAGGGGTTTCAACCCCTTTTTTCTCGAAAACGTGACGTGATGGGACATTTTTGACCCCGGATTCGTGTTCAGCACGAAAAATCCGTTCAGAAACACCAGGTCCCGTCTTATTCGCAGAAAAAAAGTTGAAATTTGTAGACCAGTGTAATTAAGATTAATTAAGTAATTATACTAATTTGTAATTAAAAAGAGGCAAAAGTAATTTAAAATGATCAAAAATAACCCAATAATGATGTAATTAGAATTAACGAATTAATTAAAAAAGTTTGTTTAAGTAATTATTAATCATTAAAAAGGTGCTAATATCGGTATTTAACAATTAAACGGTTATTCAAAAAAAACATGCTTTAATTAATAGATAATCATTATGAATATTAATCAGTATTTAACAAGCATGGTGTAATTACGAGTACGTACTCGCTTTAATGGTTTACAATATACCCAAATAAAAGTTATAATATTTTGTGTACTCTATTGTATTCAACTGTCGAAGTCAAGTAAAACAGGGTATGAATACATAAATCATTTTGTACTTGGTACAGGTCTGGTCATTTTCGAACTAGTATGGTTTCAGTCAGGAGATTATAGTTGCAAACTAGTATTTTTCCTGACTAGTTTGGCGTTTCACTGTAGGGTAGTGCCGTAGCAATGAATTCGACATATATGCACCTTACTTTGGTTTTAACCCAAATTGAGACGGTGTAAACAAAAATGGTTTGTATGTATTTTTGCAGTTTTGCAGGTGGTTAACTCATTCCATCTAGCTCTGAACTGCCTAATCATATTATCGTACATTTCATTGTACAAATGTTGAAGTGGTATTCAAATGTAGTTTGTCTGTTCCAGGGAAAACTGGTGGCGTTTTTTTGCATTCACTTCAGCTACTTCATTATCCTTAGTATCCTTTTATCAGCGTCTAGCTTGTCAATGGCTTCCCGGCTGCGAGGGACGTTTATGGATGAAATACTATATCAGGAAACTGCCTTGATTGCCGCCTGGAATAGGTTTAAGTTGGAATTGATTGTCGTTTCGGTGAGGGAAGAATAAAAGGAAGAATAATAGGAAGAATAAAAAAATTCATTCAAAGATAGCTAAAGGTCGGTAGGTTTGTAGGCCTCACACCCCTTTTCAAATAGCCCAAATTTTCTCCTTGAGTATGGGCTTGATTTCCAGATCGGTCCCTGGCCAACTTCTCGGACAAAAAGGATCATATATGCTAATATATGCTAAAAAGCAACCTACGTACCGAATTTTAAGCAAATCGGACCGTAAATACGATTTTTTCGAATAGATCAGTCCCTGGTGCACTTCTCGGATCCATTTTGTCCGAGAAGTGGACCAGGGACCGATCTGTTCGAAGAAATCGTATTTATGGTCCGATTTGCTTAAA